GTACCAAGAACTCGCTGGAGACGGGCCGCACCTTCGCTACCATCTTCGCCGACATGGACTTCCGGCAGCGGCTTCTGGAGGCCTCCAACGAAGAAGAGTTCAAACGTCTCATCATTAAGCACTCACAGGAACTAGCTGAGGAACAACAGATGAGCAATGACAAGCGTATGGAGATGAACCATGAAAGAGCCGATGAATTTGAATATGTAAGTTGCTTATAATGTTTTGTTGTGGTGGGTTGCAGTGTGACTCGACTTTACCCTATGGGGAGGGCTTGAACTAGAAATTTAATTAATAATTTGTTTAGAGGGAAGTACCAAGCCCGTAGGGGTGTTGAAGCTCCTGGGAAATGGGAGTCAGTTAGGTCTGATCCAAGAAAGTGGAAAGTGACTCCATTTCATTGACTCCTGAGACCTTCACCAGCATCAGTGTCCCTCCTTTGAAATGATTTGGATTTCAAGTGAAGGAATGTAAAGAATTCTGACATATCAAATCTTTTCTTAATAGGTATTTTTCAAGCTAAGAGCTGCTGTCTTCAGATCATATGAAAGTCTTAGGCTAGCAATAATTTTATTATAATTTTTTTTTTATTTAGTTTACACTGTGAAGGAAGTGGCAAGACTTGCTAGCACTCTGACGTATGAGATCACTCCCGCGCTAAAGGGAATAAGAATTCAGTACCACTCTACATAAAAATCACTCGAGGTCAAACAACCAAACCAAACTAAAAGTTCATGAACTAACGCAGTGAGAAGATGATTGTCTTAGTCCATATTAACCCAACAATTACAAACCACTAAATTATTTAGTGCTAAAGACTTTCCTAAGCATTTTTTGTGGTCTATACAGATACCCAGGCATCCGGAAGTGAATATTTAAGAATAAAACATTCTTGAGGCCTCCAAAGACATCTGATGAGACAATTTTAATGCTACACAACTTCCATAATAAGTAATGAAAGAGGTTAGATAGCATGGTTCTTTGTATTTATTTATTGTGAGAACATACTCCAAATGCAAGCGAGGCGAGGAATAAAGGGTCATGATTAACAAAAAAAGGCACAATACCGTGACTGGAACGTTACACAAATAACCCGCACATAGAAGAGAGAAGCTTACGACGACGTGTAAATGGTCCAAGTCGGACCGAAACGTCGTCATAAGCTCCTCTATTCTATGTGCGGGTTATTTGTGTAAGGGTCATGATGGCCGCGCATCATGTGATTTGTGATAGCTCCGAGGGTATATGATCTGTCTACCATGTTGGGCTCGCTAGAGAATCGTGCGAACATTAGCATTAATCACAAGAGTAAGACCAGTAATACTTACCACCCCTGACAGTGTGGTAGCAAGTAATGGTCCAATTTCCTCTTGAAAACTTTTAAAACTGTTACAGAAATATTTTTTATTTGATGGTAGCAGCCTGAATAATCGTGGAAGCTGGAGACGAGTCAAGACTCCAGATGACTCGCCTTGCACAATCTTCTATCTGATCCCAAAAAAATCGGAGAATACAATAATTCAACATGAATATCATAATATCCATGTTATCATAGTTTTCATGGGAGAGAGTGCAGATGGGGCGCTAAACACCTACGGGTCATACAGCGCCAGGGAAATGGGAGGCAATCAGATTCGATTCAATGAAAGGGAGGGTAGCTCAGATACATCAAATAAATGGCCCGTTACCATCATCAAGACAACTTCGTTGAAGGTGATTGTCGAGGAGCGGAACACATACTCAAGGTCTTCACTCGTACTTCAGGCAGTTATGTAACCAGTGCTATTATGTACAAAATGTATGTTAATGTTGTAAGTTTCTTGAATGTTTTGCTTGCAGAGATTACCACATAGGTTGTTGTTGCAGAGATTACCACATAGGTTGTTGTTGCAGAGATTACCACATAGGTTGTTGTTGCAGAGATTACCACATAGGTTGTTGTTGCAGAGATTACCACATAGGTTGTTGTTGCAGAGATTACCACATAGGTTGCTGTTGCAGAGATTACCACATAGGTTGTTGTTGCAGAGATTACCACATAGGTTGCTGTTGCAGAGATTACCACATAGGTTGTTGTTGCAGAGATTACCACATAGGTTGCTGTTGCAGAGATTACCACATAGGTTGCTGTTGCAGAGATTACCACATAGGTTGCTGTTGCAGGAATTATCACATAAGTTGCTGTTGCAGGAATTACCACATAGGTTGCTGTTGCAGGGATTACCACATAGGTTGTTGTTGCAGAGATTACCACATAGGTTGCTGTTGCAGGAATTACCACATAGGTTGCTGTTGCAGGGATTACCACATAGGTTGCTGTTGCAGAGATTACCACATAGGTTGCTGTTGCAGGAATTACCACATAGGCTGCTGTTGCAGGGATTACCACATAGGTTGCTGTTGCAGAGATTACCACATAGGTTGTTGTTGCAGAGATTACCACATAGGATGCTGTTGCAGGAATTACCACATAGGTTGCTGTTGCAGAAATTACCACATAGGTTTCTGTTGCAGGAATTACCACATAGGTTGCTGTTGCAGGGATTACCACATAGGCTGCTGTTGCAGGGATTACCACATAGGTTGCTGTTGCAGGGATTACCACATAGGCTGCTGTTGCAGAGATTACCACATAGGCTGCTGTTGCAGGGATTACCACATAGGTTGCTGTTGCAGGAATTACCACATAGGTTGCTGTTGCAGGAATTACCACATAGGCTGCTGTTGCAGGGATTACCACATAGGCTGCTGTTGCAGGGATTACCACATAGGGTGCTGTTACAGGGATTACCACATAGGGTGCTGTTGCAGGGATTACCACATAGGCTGCTGTTGCAGGGATTACCACATAGGCTGCTGTTGCAGGGATTACCACATAGGGTGTTGTTGCAGGGATTACCACATAGGCTGCTGTTGCAGAGATTACCACATAGGTTGCTGTTGCAGAGATTACCACATAGGATGCTGTTGCAGAGATTACCACATAGGCTGCTCTTGCAGAGATTACCACATAGGCTGCTGTTGCAGAGATTACCACATAGGCTGCTGTTGCAGAGATTACCACATAGGCTGCTGTTGCAGAGATTACCACATAGGCTGCTGTTGCAGAGATTACCACATAGGTTGCTGTTGCAGAGATTACCACATAGGTTGCTGTTGCAGAGATTACCACATAGGTTGCTGTTGCAGAGATTACCACATAGGTTGCTGTTGCAGAGATTACCGCATAGGTTGTTGTTGCAGAGATTTCCACATAGGTTGCTGTTGCAGAGATTTCCACATAGGGTTCTGTTGCAGAGATCACCACATGGATTATCATTGCAGAGGCAGTAAATTCCTAGACCAGTATCACCTATTCCTATTTCTTCCCTCCCGTCTTTCTTACCCACCATTCTTTCTCTGTCTCCAACTTTCCTCACACTTCTCTGGCCTAACCTCTCCCTCCCTCCCTCTTTCTCTTCCCATCCGGCCTTACCTTTGCATCCCTCTCTTACCTCCCACCTCACCCTTCCCTCCCGCCCCGGAAGCAGATAACGTTGCGAGGAATGTCAGAGGTCACGGCTGCAGGCTACGACGCGTCACCTGGAGCAGCGCACCAACACCTCCCCCACACACCTACATGCACTATCTAATTAATCAGTATTGAATATTTTTAATAAAAGTATTACCTTCTCGCTATCTGCAGCGGTGCACTGAAGCAGACCCTCGACGACCTGTCTTCTCCACCTTGCCTGTACCCTCCCTCCCATGTGCCTCCCTATCTACAACCTAGTTTTTCCTCCTACCTAAGGTTGGGTCACCAAAACTTAGTAATGAGGCTTGGCTTAGTCTTCCATGTCACCTTCTCCCTTCGTTTTTCGGTCTAAATAATAAGGATAATTCTCTAAGAAAATTTGCATCTGGGAGAATCAGAACGGGTTCATTGTGTAGGTAGGTTCTTGCATTCCCACCTGTTACACTCCTGGGATGTAAATATGAATCTCGCTCCACCCAAAAGAGGCAGCGTTATTGCTCTGCTGGAGACACTGCTGGAGGATGCCGGGAGAGGAAGAAAAGAATGGCGGGTGAAAGCGTATGATTCGGTTATTCTTTCTGCGTTACCCTCGCCCATTTAAGGCGAATGCTTGCTTTGTTGTGAACCCTCATATTTAATGGAGTGTCAAATGGCAATGGCTGAGTTCAAAATGTCATTGTTAGTGGCCATGAGGAAAAGTTCTGTTCCTGGTTGGAGTGGGAGAACCAACATATTCTTGGTTAAATATGTTGGTTCTCCATTACCATGAAAATCTTGATATACATTTTCTACTTAAAAATTTTAAAATCAAAGTTGGATTTAAAAAGCTTGATCCAATAAACAATATTTTATTAAGAATTCTCCCAAAAATGCTGATGGTTGTTTCTATAAGATTCCTTGTAAAAATGCAATAAAATTTTATTACGGTTAAACAGGAAAAAGTCTTGAACTAAGACCGCAACAACATAAATATAGCATTAGAAATGGACAAGAGTCTAATGCTCTCTTTATTCATGTCAGAGATTTTAACCATCTTTCTGATTTTCAAAATGCCGAGAAAGTTGTATCAAGAAGCTTGACATCTCCTTAAACACCAGTGTTCATTGCCTGACGTACGAGAAAATAATTGGAGGATGGAATACTTTATAAGAATGGGGATAGGGCATATTATGTTACTCAGTAAAGTTTATTGCATGTCATTGACTGTTGTATACCTTTTAATAACATGCTTTTGGCTGGATAAAGTGTAGTCTTTATAATTGCTGCGATGTGATATTTTAAATAAAGCGCTGTATGGTTGACTTTGCTGGATTTTAACAGAAATGGACTTAAAATTGTAATGATTTTCTGAATGTATTATTTTAAGGATTCGTAGTGTGTTTTTACTTACAGTTTATATAGTTTGTCATAGGTGATGAGCGAATTAAAGCTCTGAACAACCTATTGGTTCAAGCACTGTAAATTCCACAGTCCTCTATCCTACCAGGACTAACATGTTTATTTAGCCCTTTTTGCTCCTACTGAGGGTCTAAGATGCGGTGACAATGGATGATCTGACAGACCAGCTCTTATACAATGATGGCGCCCAAGCAGCTTCTCTGTGCCCACTCACAGCAGCTACTGTTAACTTTCCAGCAGGAAAAGCGGTGTTCGTTTGCGCGAGGTCTGCGAGAAGACCTGGAGCGACGCATCCCCCACTACCTCTCCGACTACAAGGACGGCGTCATAGGTCACAAGACGCTGCAGAAAGTCATCTCCACAACCTTCTTCCTGTACTTCGCCTGCATCCTGCCCGCCATCGCCTTCGGGGTTCTCAACGACCACAACACACATGGAAAAATAGGTATGATAAAGATCTGTTAAACTATGGCACTCCCACAGTCACATACCGTAACAGCACAACAGTTAACCAAACCGTTGTATCACATCGTCTCTGGGATGTGACTCACAACAGTTTAGTTAAGACCCAGATGTTTAATGGCTGCTAAATTAACAGGGTCAGCAGATGTAGTGAGACCTTACAAAATCCTCTAAATAGATCGACGCATTGTCCCAATATAAACTTGAACTGCAGCCTACGTTTATTGTGACAACTTTGGCTCAGTTGGTAGTATACATTGCCTCTGTAACAGCGACCATTAAATTAAAATCATACTTATGAGGAGGTATGTTACTTGTATCTTTTTTTTTTTTTTTTTTTTTTTGACGTATCATGTCTATGTTGTTCAAAATCCTGCTTATATATATGTTACAGGCTGAGTAAAACCATTACTGACGAAAGATCATAACGAAATTCTGTAGCAAAAATTCCTACACAACAGTAGCTAATTTTAAAATTGCCTTTAAAGATATGGATGTAGAAACCCTAAAAAAAAAATTGCAACTTATATAAGACAAAAAATGGAAAATGCGTTATATTGTCCAGGTGAGCAAGTAGGAGTACCAGCAGTCAGAGTAGCTCGTTAATACAAATTTGAGTTTTGTTAGTTTTTACCGTTATTTATATCAGTCACACCTGAATTAACTACACTAATAACAACCACACCTTGAAAACAATAATATTTTTGTCATTAACCTGTCTTGCTTAGAGTTAAGTATTTCTGCATTATTTTCACTGTAATTGAAAATAGTCTTAACCGAACTTACCCGAGTGTCATTTTTCAGACGTCAAGAAGGTGATAATTGGGCAGGTGATAGGTGGAGTCTTCTGGGGCTTGTTCTCTGGCCAGCCCCTTCTCATCCAGCTCACCACTGCACCTCTTGCTATATACATTAAGAGTAAGTCTGCCTGTGTCTTCAGGAGGACTGGAATATAAGTCTGTAGATAATATCAACTAATGTTATTAGCATGAACAGCTTAATCTCATTTTGTTGCTCTGTTTTAGTCTGTTTTTCACTGAAAAGTCGCTGCATCAAATGGAATCATCCCACGTGTATGTTTTCTCATTATCATACGCACCTACATAAAAAAAAAAAAAATTGAATTCAACATATTTTTGGTACTCAGATCGTTTTATGATATATCAGTGGAAACAGTATACTCATGTTCTCATAGTTTCCAGCACATAGTTTCACTACCAGCATCTCCCATGGTACTGCACCTCTTGCAACATCTCCCAAATTATCTCTTTCTTCCGGCCATTCATCAACCACACCTGTCCATCTCTTCAAAGGTTACCATCTGCAACATTCTCGTGTTTTCTGGTCCTTCCCGGTAGTCACCCGATCACCAAGGATCCTGTTCTCTGTGTGGATCTTGCTGTGTGTCCCCCTGACTATAAGTCTCGTTTCTGAAATTATATAGAAATAAGTATTGCTAAAAAAATTGCAAATGAAATTCCAACTGTCATATACAGGAAAGCATTACAAGTATTAATACATAAAAATAAAATATTTAGTAGTCACTTAAGTACAAAACCGTCCAAGAAATCTTCAAAGACGTAAGAGTAAGGAAGGTCAAATCAAATCAACCTTTCAATACTCTCAAATGTTTAAAAAAATGCAGCACTTAAATATACTCATATATGAGTAAACACAATATACTGAAGCCAAACCAATATAAATTACATTCCCACAACAACACTGTTCCCCTGATGACCAAGCCTGGAAGGGGACAGTAAGGAGGCCTTGTCAGTGACCAAGCCAGGAGGGGGATAGTGAGGCCTGGTCCTTGACCAAGCTAGGAGAGGAACAATGGGAAGGCCTGGTCCGTGACCGTGTCGGTGGTAGGGAAGTCAATGATCTCCGGAACCCATAGACTAATAAATCATTTGGTATTTTGTTTCCAGTGCTACTGGGTATTAGAATAGATTTCTCTAAACTATGCATAGCAGAGACAACGACTAAATTTCTGTAAAAAAAAAGCGAGGCTGGTAATCCTTTTTTTCTTTATGAACTTACTACTAAAAAATAAAAAAAAACAGAAAAAGTAATTGAAACTGCTGTTTGACTGTTTCTTTATTATTTGTTCATGTCCTTTTGAGCTGTTTGTTTGCAGTGATAATTTTCTTTAAGTTATCAAAATCAATTTATATAAAATATCTAACATTGAAATCATCACACACATTATTCATCATCCCAATCTACACATCATAATTATATTGGGCAGTAACTCCTTATGAAAGAAACCAATTCATAATAAGAAACTACGTATGTTAGAATGGAAATATCTGTTAAAAAGTTACCGCTTGCTGGGTAGCGCTTCCTCCGTACAGTAAATGTACTAATGTTACTAAATGTTACTAATTTAGTTTCACTAATTCATCATTATTGATTAACTAACGAATTAAAAATCGGAAAGCAGCATTTTAATTAGGCTCTATTTAAGTAAATTCGAGTGACTACTATTTTGTATTTTCTCATTTTGAAGGCTGGTATTTGCAATATAATAATGATTAATATACTAATGGCTTTTCAATTTACTGATTAAAAATTAAAAACCTATTTCTCTTTGCTCCTCAGTCATATATTACATCTGTGATGACTTCAAGCTTAACTTCCACGCGATGTACTGTGCGGTGGGGCTGTGGAACAGCTTCTTTTTGGTGATGTATTCATTATTTGATGTGTCTCGCCTCATGCGGTGGTCCACACGCTCCACAGAAGAGATTTTTGCTCTCTTCATCTCCATTGCCTTCTGTAATGACGCCTTCACTGCCGTCGGAAAAAGTAAGTATTTCTAGCTTTGTGGATTTCTTATAGCAACTTCCATCACAGCATGTGAGAAGCTTAAATGTTTTAATAATTGAGCAAATTTATTACTGCTCTGTCAGAACAAGTCAGTGTTGCTGTGAGAATTAAAGATTTAATTTATCACTTTAATAAGTGTTCCATATCACCTGCAACTGCTATTTATCTGAGGTATAAAAAAATCAGTGAACACAAACTAGGCTGTCTACAAAATTCTTTAGTGTAACATTTTATTGAGGGACTATATTGGACCAGTTAAAAGTAAAAAGCACACACAAGCATTGCTAAGTACACACACACACTTTATTAAATGAACATACAGTCAAACTATAAATTTCCAGAAGATAGGCCAAAATGTCCCAGTTATATTAGACTCTGCAAGCACCACTTCTGTGTAATCACAAGAAAAATAAGTGTCAGAACCGAATTTAATTTGGGATTCAGAGACCGTAATCTCTTTCTAAATTATGCTTTAACTTCATTGATACTGACAATCGGAAAAATATTGATCAAGACATGAAATATGAGAATGGAAAGTCCAGTGAGCTAATCTGGAATGAAATCCCATAGTTGGCTTTCAATTTAGGTGTCATACACAAAGCTTATACAAAATGGGCACCGTTATAAAACTGAATAATGATAGCATTAAAAATGGTGGATAATTGAAGCACATGAGGTTGGAAGGCTGGGCATCAAGGGTTACACTGTTCAATACAATACTGTATTACAAAATTATAGTTATATTCATACTGTTGTTAATCATGAAACCTTGGTAATTCACATATCCCTAGTAACTTAATTCTGTACAATTTTCATTTGATTTTATATCTTGGCACTTTAAATGTGTAGGTGGGAGCTGTGACTGCCCCGCATGGGCTACTATGTCTCTCTTTGCATTCTCTTCTTTTTCATGCTGAATATAATTACGGAACAATATATAAAAAAAATCAACCCATCAACTTTCATTGAAGTAATGACCATACGATTCTGACAAGTAATGTTACACGTTGACACAGTATCATAGTGTCAAAAATGTATACAGTACACTGTTTCAATATATAAAGAATATTCTTAATTTTTACAGTATTTAAGTACGTTACTCTGTTTAATATAATTCTACATGATTCTCTGTGTGGTAGTAGGTGGAAGAGGAAGGTGACGTGACGCTCGCTGGTAGTGATCCTCACAACAAAAGCCCAACATGATTCGTATACAGTTTCAGATAATTGCATTGTTTCATTTTCTATCTTATAAAAGCTACGGGAGAATTCGACTTTCAAATATCCACAGGGAATAAAAGACATCTCGATGGGCAAAATGCGCCTCGATGTATAAAATGGACCTAGGAAAAGTAACACGCACTTCGGTAGGGCCAATCATGTGAAAAGTCTGGCCAATTATAGGCACTATTTTGTGTGCCCAAGATCATGCTCAGATGAATTACGTTGTGTTATGCTGGGTTTCGTTAGGGTTAGTTAACAAAACTTTTTTCATATTAGATACCGGACCCAGAAATAAATATTTACCGAATCGAGAACGGGTTGAACTTATCAGAGAGGATCATAATCATGGTTCCTGTTACGATGTTTAAATACAATATTAATGTACACACTTTGTCAGGTTTAATTATAGACAAAAATTTTCCCTCACCGAAATGCCCTAAAACAAAGATTAGCAAATCTCCAAATATCACAGTAGGGTGCACTATATAAGATGGAAATATAGGTCAAGTTCAGAATATTACATGTAATATCACTTAATGGACGGTGTATCATGAAAAAGGAATAATGACCAAGTCTAGCAGAAATTAAGGCATATTTTGTGTGTTAGATATCAGCATGACGCCGACTACAAACCGTAAACCAGACCTTGCAGAGCTCTAGTGAGTACCAAATCACACATGTACAAGTTCGGTGAATTGAAACTGGAAAATCAACTATATAAAATGGCGATCAGTGAGAAGGTTTCGAGAGATTCATGAGTGTCATGAAGTTTCCTAAAATTGGTGACTGAATCTCACGCATGTAAAATATTATTGTGTTGGTTCCTGGTATGTTGAAATCTGTTAAAGGCTGGTATCACCTTACAGTGCTAGTAGAGTGTCAGACCGAAAGATATGCACTAAAGTCGACAGTTTTGCCAGATTTTTCACCCGGTTACTAGTGTTCGACTGGTCCTCGCGGGCAGGTGCTACCTCGGATTTCATGAGTAAATATTACTTATGCATGATTTTGTATTTCGGTTGTATACAGCTTACTTAACTAATATATAATGAACTTTGTTACCTATTTTACAGTGAACTATTTTGTATGATGATAGATACTGTGTTAATACTAAACACACACACACACACACACACACACACACGTTTCAAAATGTAATCAAGAAAGTCTATGTGAATAAGCTTGCCTTGTTCGGCCCATGGCAGCGCCGCCATCTTGTCTGTGTGATGCAGTTGCTGCTCAAAATTCTACAAGGCTGTTTTGTTGTTAAGCAAAAATATTTATACCAAATTTGTTGCTAATTTAGGTATTTAATGATGCTATTTATACATGAAATTGCCTAATGAATTAATTATATAATTAAAAGGTATTTATGAGATGGAGGCTGCATTGAAAATGTAAATTTCCCCTCTGTTGCTATCATTAAGAAATTTTTCAGTAGCGGTCACCGAAGACAATAATTTTAACCTAGAACGGTCGACTTTCCATAAATTATACGACACTGACATACATACCATAAATTATACGACACTGACATACATACCATAAATTATACGACACTGACATACATACATAAATTATACGACACTGACATACATACCATAAATTATACGACACTGACATACATACCATAAATTATACGACACTGACATACATACCATAAATTATACGACACTGACATACATACCATAAATTATACGACACTGACATACATATCAGAATAGTCTGATGTATCCCAACCAGAATGTTTCTGTCCCTGGAAAGAGAAAATCCCATTGTGGATAGTTAACTTTGATTATTATATTCATGAGGAAATGGCAAACATGAAAGTTTGATACAGAAGCTGGGAATTGTGATGTAATCAAGTAACAGCCTGGTTGATCAGGCCCTGATCCATTGGGAGGCCTGGTCATGGACCGGGCCGCGGGGGCGTTGATCCCCGGAATAACCTCCAGGTAACCTCCAGGATCCACGGTAGGGAAGATCTGCTCAGATTTCTTGAATCCATAACACATTTCGCACATCCTAGCACCACTCCTCGGAAGGGAAGTGTAATATAATATCTTTATTTACTACAAGTACATGTACAAGGTATACAAGTACATGTACAAGGTATACAAGTACATGTACAAGGTATACAAGTACATGTACAAGGTATACAGACCTAGCTGACATCAATGACATACTACTATACAGAAAGCCGTTCGGAAAAATTAGGTTAATTTTGTCCCAGGATGCGACCCACACCAGTCGACTAACATCCAGGTACCCATTTTACTGATGGGTGAACATAGACAACTGGTGTAAAGAAACATGCCCAATGTTTCTACCCTCGCGGAGAATCGAACCCAGACGCTTGCCGTGTGAAGCGAGAGCTTTAGCCACCAGGCCACTGTTAAATTCTGTTTAGCCGAGTCTTCTTACACCCGGACTCTGTGACTATCGTAGGATATTACAAAAACGAAGTACAACACTGTACGTCATTCCAGAATGTTTCTCTTCTGATAATAAACTGTTTGATAATAATTTGCTATCCAGGGGATTTATCCATTGCCTTTCCAAAATTATTACAACAACACTTGCGAATGAGACAGACATAGAATTTAAAAGGTTCTCCCTATAACAACTCTTATTTTCTCATTAATTTGCACATTTTGCTGTTTTTGTACTCTAAATTATTGTACCTTTCTGTAATGTCTCAAAATTGCCCAAATTAGGTAACATAATTCTTCTGTACATTACATTTGAAGCTAAGGTGATATCTGTTCCCATACCTTTTTTACTTTGCCAGTGATTTGTATCTTATATGTATCTTATTTGTATCTTATTTGTATCTTATTTGGCTGTAGGGAGCTCAAGGCCATTTGTGGCCTCTTTCGTAAAACCTGAAATATTTCCTCATCTCGTTCGGAAGTTTTATGGGCCATTATTTTATATGTAATAAAAACATTTCCTATTTACAAACTTGCTCTTAACCTTCTATTACTACTTTTAGAAAAGGTTCGTTTCTTATGCTGCTCTCTCTACAGTATTGTTTATTTTTTATTTTCATTCTGGCAAAGCTTTTGAGTTCGGGGTCTTCCTCTATTGGTTCAAAATTCTTTTCATTGAGTTTCAACGCCTGCTGTTCAGCCTTTTTTTTTTTTTTTGTCTTTGTACGTTCCTCATTTTTAGTATGAATTATTTAATTCCATTTTCATTTGTCGCAAAACTCTCCAAGCAATTTGTTTATCAATTTCAGAAATATTATCTTCAATCAAAATATATAATATACCTATTTTTTGTAATCTGGTTTATCTTCTTTGTGTTTTTCATTTTCCTTTCCCGAGACAGACCTGGTAATATTCGTTATCTCCAACATAGCACAAGTTTACAAAGTAGGGAAAAAGAGGCCTAGATCATGCTGGTGAACATAAATCTGTTTTGTATTTTCTCTATAGACATAGGTTTAAAATAGAGTAATTTGTCTATTTTATACCATATAGACATCTCATTTCAACTGTCTTTACTTGCAGATTTTGATGCCAACTACTACAGTCCGGCGTGTCAAGGCCTTACCAACAGCACCAATTACACCTCATATACCATAGGTACCCAGTCACCCTACACTATCTTAGGCAACTCCTCAGATATTTACTCTACACCCAGCATACCAGAAGGCAACATGACCTTGACCCTTGTGCAAGATGTATGTACGAGGGAGAACTCCATCCTCTACCTCTTGCTTATGTTTGGCACACTCTGGCTTGGCGTGATGCTCTACAACTTCAACAAGACGTAAGTTCACACAGGCATTTGCGCTATGGTGAGAAATAATACAAGAATGAGGCTTCTTCCTTAGCCAGGAAAACTCTGTATTGATCTATCAAGTTTCTGTCAGGGAGGGAAATGAAAATTGTGTGTGTGTGTGTGTGTGTGTGTGTGTGTGTGTGTGTGTGTGTGTGTGTGTGTGTGTGTGTGTGTGTGTGTGTGTGTGTGTATGTGTATCACATTTCTCTGATGGACCACAATACATTACAACTCGTGCAGTTGTTATCGGAAGAAACTTCTATGGAAAATGCATGTATGGAGCAGAAGAGAAGATACCCACGATCTATGGTTTATTTTTTACTTTTTTTCTTCCAATAAGTCGGCCGTCTCCCACCGAGGCAGGGTGACCCAAAAAGAAAGAAAATCCCCAAAAAGAAAGTACTTTCATCATCATTCAATACTTTCACCTCACTCACACATAATCACTCTTTTTGCAGAGATGCTCAGAATACAACAGTTTAGAAGTATATACATATAAAAATACGCAATATATCCCACCAAACTGCAAATATCCCAAACCCCTCCTTTAGAGTGCAGGCATTATACTTCCCATTTCCAGGACTCAAGTCCGGTTATATAAAATAACCAGTTTCCCTGAATCCTTTCACTAAATATTACCTTGCTCACACTCCAACAGTTCGTCAGGTCCCACATACCATTCTTCTCCATTCACTCCTATCTAACACGCTTACGCACGCTTGCTGGAAGTCCAAACCCCTCGCCCACAACACATCCTTTACCCCCTCCCTCCAACCTTTTCGAGGATTTATACGCTCTCCATGTCATTCTACTTTGATCCATTCTCTCTAAATGACCAAACCACCTCAACAACCCCTCTTCAGCCCTCTGACTAATACTTTTACTAACTCCACACCCTCTCCTAATTTCCACACTCCGAATTTTCTGCATAATATTTACACCACACATTGCCCTTAGACAGGATATCTCCACTGCCTCCAACCGTCTCCTCGCTGCTGCATTCACAACCCAAGCTTCACACCTATATAAGAGTGTTGGTACTACTATATTTTCATATATTGCCTTCTTTGCCTCCATAGATAATATTTTTTGCCTCCACATATATCTCAACGCACCACTCACTTTTTTCCTTCATCACTTCTATGATTAACCTCATCCTTCAAAAATCCATCCACTGGCACGTCAGCTCCCAAATATCTGAAAACATTCACTTCTTCCATTCTTCTCCTCACCAATTTGATATCCAATTTTTCTTTATCTAAATCATTTGACACCCTCATCACCTTACTCTTTTCTATGTTCACTTTCAACATTCTACCTTTACACACACTCCCAAATTCATCGACTAACCTTTGCAATTTTTCTACAGACTCTCCCACAAGCACAGTATCATCAGCAAAAAGTATCTGTGTCACTTCCCATTTTGTATTTGATTCCCCATAATTTAATCCCACCCCTCTCCCGAACACCATCTACAAATATATTAAACAACCATGGTGACATTACACAGCTCTGTCTAAGACCTACTTTTACCGGGAAGTATTCTCCCTCTCTTCTACACACCCTAACCTGAGCCTCACTATCCTCATAAAAACTCTTTACAGCATTTAGTAACTAACCACTTATTCCATATACTTGCAACATCTGCCACATTGCTCCCTATCCACTCTATCATATGCCTTTTCTAAATCCATAAATGCAATAAAAACTTCCCTACCTTTATCTAAATACTGTTCACATATATGCTTCAATGTAAATACTTGATCTACACATCCCCTACCCACTCTAAAACCTCCTTGCTCATCTGCAGTTCTGCATTCTGTCTTACCTCTAATTCTTTCAATAATAACCCTACCATACATTTTTCCTGGTATACTCAGTAAACTTATTCCTCTATAATTTTTACAATCTTTTTTGTCCCCCTTCCCTTTATATAAAGGGACTATATACGCTCTCCGCCAATCCCTAGGTACCTTCCCCTCTTTCGTACATTTATTAAACAAAAGTACCAACCACTCCAACACTATATCCCCCCCTGCTTTTAACATTTCTGTCATGATCCCGTCAGTTCCAGCTGCTTTACCCCCTTTCATTGTAATGCCTCACGCACCTCCCCCACACTCACATCCTGTTCTTCTTCACTCCTAAAAGATGGTATACCTCCCTGGCCAGTGCATGAAATTACCGCCTCCCTTTCTTCGTCGACATTTAAAAGTTCCCCAAAATATTCTCGCCATCTACCCAATACCTTCATCTCCCCATCTACTAACTCCCCTGCTCTGTTTTTAACTGACAAATCCATTCATTCCCTAGGCTTTCTTAACTTGTTTAACTCACTCCAAATTTTTTTCTTATTTTTATTAAAATTTCTTGACAGTGCCTCTCCCACTCTATCATCTGCTCTCCTTTTGCACTCTCTCACCACTCTCTTCACCTTTCTTTTACTCTCCATTTCCTCTTCCTTAACACTTCTGCTTTGTAAATAACTCTCATAAGCTACCTTTTTCTCTTTTATCACACCCTTTACTTCATCATTCCACCAATCACTCCTCTTTCCTCCTGCCCCCACCCTCCTATAACCACAAACTTCTGCCCCACATTCTAATACTGCATTTTTAAAACTATTCCAACCCTCTTCACCACCCCCCCCCACTACTCATACTTGCACCAGCAATAGTTGCTTATATTTCACCCGAACTTCCTCCTCCCTTAGTTTATACACTTTCACCTCCCTCTTACTTGTTGTTGCCATTTTCCTCTTATCCCATCTACCTCTTACTCTAACTGTAGCTACAACTAGATAATGATCCGATATATCAGTTGCTCCTCTATAAACGTGTACATCCTGGAGCCTACCCATCAACCTTTTATCCACCAATACATAATGTAACAAATTACTTTCATTTCGTGCTATATCATACCTTGTATATTTATTTATCCTCTTTTTCATAAAATATGTATTACTTAATACCAAACCTTTTTCTACACATAGTTCAATTAAAGGCTCCCCATTTTCATTTACCCCCTGGCACCCCAAATTTACCTACTACTCCCTCCACAACATTTTTACCCACTTTAGCATTAAAATCCCGAACCACAAGTACTCTCACACTTGATTCAAAACTCCCCACGCATTCACTCAACATTTCCCAAAATCTCTCTCTCCTCTATACTTCTCTTTTCCCCAGGTGTATATACGCTTACTATAAGCCACTTCTCACATCCTACCTTTATTTTACTTCACATAATCCGTGAATTAATACATTTATAGTCCCTCTTTTCCTGCCATAACTTATCCTTCAACATTATTGCTACTCCTTCTTTAGCTCTAACTCTATTTGAAACCCCTGACATAATCCCATTTATTCCTCTCCATTGAAACTCTCCCACCCCCTTCAGCTTTGTTTCACTTAAAGCCAGGACATCCAGTTTCTTCTCATTCATAATATCCACAATCATCTCTTTCTTATCATTTGCACAACATCCACGCACATTCAGACTTCCCACTTTGACAATTTTCTTTTTCTTATTCTTTTTAGTAATTATTAAAGGAAAAGGGGTTACTAGCCTATTGTTACCGGCATTTTAGTTGACATTTACAACATGCATGGCTTACGGAGGAAAGATTCTTATTCCACTTCCCCATGGATATTAAAGGAAAAGTAATAAGAACAAGAACTAAGATAAAATCAAAGAAAACTCAGATTAGAGTGTAAGTAAACGTGTACATGTATGTGTTAGTGTGACCTAAGTGTAAGTAGAAGTAGCAAGACGCACCTGTAATCTTGCATATTTATGAGACAGACAAAAGACACCAGCAATCCTACCATCATGTAAAACAATTACAGGCTTTCGTTTTACACTCACTTGGCAGGACGGTAGTACCTCCCTGGGTGGTTGCTGTCTATCAACCTATTTCTTTATATTTAGTTTACATTAGTTTGTACAATATATCTGTATGCAGATTTAGACGTTTTTATTTAGTGTTATATCTTAGCTAAGGTTGTAGGGGACCACCTTCTTGAATGGTTATTTCCACCTCTTCTCAATTCGGGGAAATTCGCCTGCACTTGTAATTAAGCATATAGAACTGCAAATTAAGTGAAGAAAATGTCATGTTTTCAGTTAAAAATGTTACTGAACTTCTCATGTGAGTTATTAAAGAGAAAAAATATTGTTGGTGTCATGATAATCATTGCTCTCGTATGTTCATGTCTCTCCCAGTGATACAACTGTGTAACTGCAGCCACAAATGATTATCATGTATCCATGGAAATAAATGGTATAAAATACCGACATAATGGAAATATAAACACAAATGCAGTATAATGTGATCCTTTATTGACTACGTTTCGCCCACACAGTGGGCTTTTTCAAGTCACAAACAGAACTACCTGGGGTGGAAGGAACGCGAGTATTTATAGTCCGGTTCAGAATGCTGAGGTCAGGTGAAGAATGCTGCATCTGATGATGTACCCAAGTTTTTAGACTCCATAACCCCACTCGGTACATCATCAGATGCAGCATTCTTCACCTGACCTCAGCATTCTGAACCGGACTATAAATACTCGCGTTCCTTCCACCCCAGGTAGTTCTGTTTGTGACTTGAAAAAGCCCACTGTGTGGGCGAAACGTAGTCAATAAAGGATCACATTATACTGCATTTGTGTTTATATTTCCATCATGTATCCATAAGTATCAAAATGTGAGATGAACAAGACAAAGGGTTAGTTTAAGTCAGTCATATATAATTGGCTATAATAATTAATCTGAGTAGCATCTAAGGTTCTCCTTAATGTATAGATAATACACAAACTATTTTACTGTTTGTTACATGTAATCTGTAATGCGCAGTGTTTGGTTTTGTAATTTTTTTTTCCAGAAGACACAAGAATGAACCGTATATATTTTTTTTGGTCATATAAAGGGCAGGTTGTTTAAAAATCTAGTAACTGCATTCAACTGAGCCTTGTAATGGGTGGATTATA